ATGTCTACAGCTTCTATAAATGGGGGGGGGGATTCGATTTTTTGAATGTGTAAAGGTGGTTTTAAGTCTAGAACAAGAGTCCAGATGGTCACCATACATGTCATCAATATCCAGGGGTGTTTATGGGAACCCAAAAAATCCCCTGAAACTTTTACGAACTTATTACCGACATTTTGGAGTTTCGAGAAGGGGGGGGAGAGAAATTAAAAATTACAATTATGAAGTATTGAATGACCTAATTATAAAAGTTCAATGAATTACTTTTTTTGCAAAATTAATAACCATAAATTTTCAAACATATAAACTACTACATTTTATGTAAATATTTTAAATTACCTGAATTAATTCTTTTAAAAAAATTATCTAATTTCTGCTGCTTTTTTTTATTTTCTGATGTTTGTGGGCTTGTCTTTCTTTTATGGTGAACTTCATAATTGCAGGAAGGTTGACTTTTATTTTCCTCATTTACAGTTGAAGAAATTTCCTCGAGAACTGCACATGCAGAGGTAGAAGCAGTTTGCTTTTCTGCTAATGTAGAAGGTTTTTCAGAGACTTTTATGGGTGACTCAACTGAAATACACGTTTTTAAGTCCTCTTGATATGTTTTCCAACTTCTGTTCTTTTTCAGTAAGAGATCTTTGTGAATTGGATTAGTCATTGGATTTTTTGAGCCATATTTTTCACATGAGGTTTCTTTAGAAGCCATTAAATCATATTTAATAGTCTGCACTGCATCTAGGGAATCAATCTTAAGAGAGGTTTTATAGTCAGTGACAAGTGTATACATTAAGTTGAATGCACTTTCCACTAATGGGCCATGGAAGCAGCTAAGGCAGGCTTCGACCAATTTAGCCAATGTAGGATACTTATAATCATTTGTGAAATCATCTTTTAAATTAAAAACTTTAGACCAATACTTATCAATTGTACACTTGACTTGATTTCCACTTTCTTCAGATGTGTAGAGCATTTCTTTGGTGATATCAATATCACTCTGGTATAACCTTATTTCAGCTTCTACTTTTGACTTTTCATTATCACTAAAAATATGGGACATAAAAGATGATAATTTTTCAAAAGCTAATATTGTACTGGTTTTACCTCTTAGCTCTGGATCTAATGCTGTAAAACTAATTAGATATGAATTAAGGGGTAATTTCTGTTTCATATGCTGTGCTGTATTAGTATAACCTTTCATCAGAGAAATTTGGAATTCTTTTTTGCTATTGGATGATTTTTTGATAATTTCTTCAGGAGAGTGGAAGCTTCTGCACCAGTAAATATTACTTTGTTAGGTAGGTGGAATTCTGGATTTGTGACATCAACCTTTAATAAATCATTATAAGATGTGCACTCTATATTTTCTGGCTTCATAAAAAAAGAGAAAAATTTTGCCATCAATTTATAAATACTGGAATGTATTAAATGAAGCATTGGTTTTTTTGTTTCAAATAATTTAATATATGTGTTGAACTCTAGTAATACTGCTGAATATAATGCCATATGCAATAAAGTTTTGTTTTGCATAACAAATAACCCATTTAGTATTCTTTTATCCTGAGCTAAAGCATCCTTTGTGAGTTGTTGGGAATGCAAGCAAGAATACACCCCTTCAACAATTTTTTCTGAGCTGCAAAAATATTTCTTTTATTGTATACAGTTTCAACATAAGAAAAATAATCCCCTTTATCAGTTTTATCCAAGTAGTGAAAATAAAATGCAATAAGAGCATTCTACAGATCTTTGATTCTTTCTAAAACACATAAAATGTACACCCACCTATGGTCTGGTTTATTCAAGGGCTTAAGTTTTTTAATGGCAAGGGATTCACAGATTTTGAAAAAATTTTCTCTTTTACTGCAGCTTTTCATATCAAAATAGATGTTATCAAACAAATCTTCTAGGTATCTATCAAAACATGAAGCAAATTTTTTTTGCACAGTTATTAGCTGTGTGACATGTGTCAATATCAATATCTAATAAGTGGGGTGCTTTGTTTGATCGTAGTCTGGTTTCAACACCCTTTTTTTTTTTTTTTTTTTCCCATGCATGGTGTTACATGAGTCCATTAATACACTAATTAAGTTTGCCCATGGAATATTATTATCTTCAATAGTATTAACAACTGCTTTAAAAACAGCTTCTGAATTGCAAGATTCCATCTTTAGAGATGCAAAATGATGAACTACAACTTCGTTTTGATTGTTGTCATAAAACTGCACCAATACCAATATTGCCAGTATACTTTCTTGAGCATTGCTAGTACTTTCATCCAAATTTAGAGAAAATGGAGTCTCCTTTAAAGTTTTAATGATATTTTCTTTAATAGTTTTTGCAAGCCCATATTTCATCTTATAACATGCAGTAGTCCTGGACATTTCCAACGAGTTTAGTGCCGTCTGATCGCAGCTCAACTGTTTGCACAGTTCAATTAAATTGGGAGCTACATTGAAAGAAAGAGAATTCTCAGCGATAAATAAAGTTATTAATAAATCTTGGCGTGCTTTTCTTGTCACTATATCCAATGGCCGAGCATCAGTCTCCAGTAAGTCATCAGTAATTTTTTAATTAGCATAATTACTTAAAGTCATTGAATGTCTAATGCACTTTGAATATTTTATGTGCGTCACAGTTTTAGAATGATTTGTGAAAGCCTTGAATCCTTCCCCACCATACTTCAGTAGTGAGTTACAAAAAACACAATATGCTTGTCCAGCAACATTTATTTTCTTGCACCATGTGCCGATGGTATCCCGATTACCATCTCTCCGTTCAATCCAATTTCACCTAAATGTATTCCGGACACCTTCTAATTGTATAATATCACTATTTATATCAAGAAATTTCATAGTGAAATTCTCTTGCGTACATAAATAAAAAAATATTTCAATAAACTAAATGAAAAATTTACACGTGCATCAATAAATGAAACGAAAATTTTACACAGCGGAGAAAAAAAATTGAGAAGCGATCAATGACAAATAGCTAATACGGCGAAAAACCCCCCTTCTCTACTTATTGGTGCCATGCCAGGAGAGATAAGACCTTTGAACCCAGAGTCATGTGATCGCACATCTGGACGAACGAAGTCGCTTCCTTCTTTTTCTGCTGCGCCTACTTGCCGAAAAGAATCCAGAAGAGAATGTCTGAGAACTGGGGGAATGAGTCATAACTCGCAATAAGGAAGGAACAAAAAAGAAGTTTTCCCCCCCTTTTCCCGCATTATCACTGCCTTTGGAGTAAGAAAGGAAAAGTTTTCACCACACACACTGACCTTGCGTTTTCTGCTTCCAGAGCAAGCAAAATTACCCAGATCAAAATAAATAATTCATTATTATTCCTACTTCCTTTTGAACGACGATCCCCGGAATTTCCGGGTATCGAAGTTCAAAATCCCCGGAATTCCGGGGTTTCCCCGGAGCACAAACACCCCTGAATATCACATAACGGGCAAGATGGAAAGTCTGCTAAACTAAATGTTTGTAGGTGTTTCATGAGGTAGTCATATCCAGTTTTTAATCTAAAGTTAGCAGCACTGGCTTAACCTGCTGAGATTCTCCATTAGGGAACCTCCAATCTTCCTCTTCACCAAGTCCCCATTCTTCTTTCAAAGATGAGCTCCACATCTGTCTCAAAGGATTCTATTAGCACTGTGATATCAAGCAGGAGGATTGGGTTGAGGAACCACAAATCCAGCCTCAGCCTGAGTGTCAGCACTCTCATTACCCATGATTCTACAATGATTTGGGATTTACTGCAGAGTAACATTGTCACCATTATTTATTAGAGAATTTATCACAAGCTGACAATCTAGAACAGAACCATTGTATGACTAAAGAAATTGCTTTAATAGTGGCCTGTGAATCAATAAATATCACAAAGTGCTGATCTTCTCTTTTGCTGATTTCAGTCAAGGCTAATTGGATAGCAGCCACTTCAGCATCATAATTGGTACAATTTGTACTACCAACCCTGCTAAAGTTAAAATGCCAAGAATAAACCCCTGCACCAGCATTACTTATTAGCACCTATAGCAGAACCATCGATGTACACATGCAACCAGCGCATTGTTGGGAATCTTTCTACGACAGTGGCCAAAGCAGCCATCCTTAATTCTGTCTCAGGAATTTTTACTGACTGGCAGAACTAAGTCTAAATTATAATTTTCCAAGTTCAAATATCTTAGAAACACACTAGTCTCAAGTAGATCAAGATCTGTTAAAAGAAGAGATATATAAAAAAAATCAGACAGTTCATTTGTCACATTTAAAAATTTAAGTTAGAGTTTTAACATGCATTCTGCAAGACTGTACATCTTCCAGAAATCACCATATCTTATCAATCTCTTGACCAACTTGAGAGCACATATTTTCCTTCAAAGAGTCAGTGGCTCAATAATTGTTTGCAACTGCACGGCCAGGATAGGAATAGAAAATGCTCCACCAGTGATGATTCTCATGGTATTATTTTGAATAGTTTCAACCCTGTTCTGTACTGACTCAGAAGCAGTTATGAGAAGTACAACTGCTTCTGAATCAATACAGAACAGGGTCGAAGCTATTCAAAATAATATTAAAAAAATTGAATGCACATGTACTAAGAAAATAAAACAAAGGATAATGGTGACGTGTGACAGTGCTTTAGGTACTTAACCAAACAATTTATTATGACTGAGTTGTTTACAGTGTGCCGCAGATGAAGGAGGAACAACAGTATACAAATAAAAACTCATGATAATGAGAGTAATTTTTGACTGAACATTGCATTGCAGCAAACGCTGTAGTTATTTAGCATGAAGGCAAAAATTTTAAAATAAATCTTTGCTTACATATTACCTAGAATGACACCTGGCAGAAATACAGAATAACAACAGATATTTAAGAAAATTTTAAATTATAAGCTAAACTACTCATATAGATTTGATAAAAATTTGAACATAATATTTATTTAAAAAATAAGTAAATTACCATTTATAAAAGGAATGAAAATATTTTACTTACAATCAACATCATAGTCAACATCATTAGACATAGATAGTAGCACATTATCCCTTCTAAACCATTTTTCTGAGGCCTTTAAAAGAAAAATAAATTTCATATTAGGTATTTATGCAAAGAAATTTCAAGATCTGCATCATAATTTTCAAACTTTTTATTTTTAATCAAATATATTGAGGAACTATGCATCCATTTATGTCTACTGCAGCTATATCTATTTATGTCACTTGCTTCATTATTATATAACCAAATAAGCCTATAACTTCTGTTTAGTGAAATATTAAGCAAAAAGAACATGCACTATTTTCTCAAGAAAAACCAGGTCCCATTGTTTCTTTCATACTGTTGCATGTGTATGAGTTTATAACAGATTGAATGTACAGAACACTGATGATAGCTTGATAAAATTATTTTACCACAAGCACTTCACTATACTGGAACTTTCCATAAAAATATTTGTACAGCTCTTCACAGTATCACAGAGTACAATCAGTACTTACACTTCAAACTAATAAGAACATTAAACACAACACAATACAAAGTGCATCTAAAAGGCAAAGCTCTCATAGATATCTCAATATTCCGAATTCAATACGCTACTGATAACAACTGATTGCAGATGCTCTCTCCAGCCATATATAGTTTTCACCTGGCCACCAAGAAATTTCTAACAAACTGCATTTCTTGAACTTACTGGAAGGCATATACTTGAAGTTACACCTAAGGCCCAGTTACAATTATAGTTATTCAATTACAATAACCATTACAATTATACAGGGACCAGACTAAAATGCCAACAAATTTGGCAACATAAATTAGTCAGCAAAACCATCACCAGCCTGGTAATATCATGCCAACTTAATGAGATAGCTATTTACTGGATGATAAATAGAGTCGCCCGTGTGTTCTTACTTTTTTGGCAAAGCTTCACTTCTTTAAATTTTCATTTCATAATATGCAAAAAATATTAAAATTTCACCAAAATTATTTACAATATTTGCAACAATATGTTAAAGTAAACTTCAAAAATATTTAAATGAAATAATAATAATGAAACTAGCAACACTGTTTAGCTATATATATATATATATATATATATATATATAAAACGTTTTGATGGAAAAGAATTTGCCCAATAGATTTATTTTAATGTATAGCATGTTTACTTACGAATAAGTAACCCTATATAACACATATAAGTTTGGTTTATTTGATTAGAGCAAAGCATTTGAGGGTTATCTGCCTAAAGGGAGGGATTTCTTCATGGAGGATTTTGTAAGGGAAACTTGCTCATACCCATATCTCACATAGGAAAAACTTGAAAATGTCCATGCAGCTAGTCTGCTCACCTGGAGCTGAACTTACCAGTGATCAGCGACTTTACTCACCAGTGATCAGCGACTTTACTCACCATTTGACCACTGGTGAGCTCATATATGTATAAAGTATATAAAGAGTATTTATTAAAATCTAAAGAACTTGAAATTAAATTTGCTCAGTCAGAACTGGATAGAACTATGAAATAAGGGTTTCAAAAGCTCAGTGTAAAACAACAAATATTTCCTTCTTTAAAATGAAATTATTTTGCCTAAGCATATACATGTCCTATAATTTGACTGTCAAAATTCTGTTCCACCCACCCGGTACAGTAGTTAGCATTGCTGACTGCTGTGCCACATGTTCGAATCCCAGAGAAGGTATGGATGTTTGTAAATCTATAGTGTCGGTGTAGTACTTTAAATAAAGTACCACACCGACACTATAGATTTACCGAAAGAAGATCCATAGATACACTGAAAGAAAAGCCGAAAGTCCCCTTTTATAATAATAGTCCTCTTGTAATATACTTGTGGAAGGAGAGATGGATGGGAGACCCTCAGTCCCGTCCCCCCAGGGTGTTTTCCATTAAAATTGGGGGCGGAACTGAGCTAAATCACACTGTCGCCTGTAAGGTGCTCAAGTCTGTTGCCAATGAGAGGCATAATCTTGTGCTCCTTGCCACAAGGAAGTTTGTGGGCTTGGGCTGACTATGTCAGACAAGTGAGCATAAGTAACAACAACACAACAAATTTTGTTATTTTAGTTTTATTTTATTATTTATTTTTGCTTAAATGGTTCAAAATGCCTAAAAATATCAAGATGCTTAACTTTTAACTTACTTCTATCACAGCTTTATGAGAATCAAGGACTTCCTCCTCCATTTCTTGTACATGGGATATTGCTTCATGAAATGAATATAGATCAGCTGATAATTCACCTTCCTGAAAATTACGTTATTTCATGAGGACTATTGGACCAGATTCCCATCAATCAAAAAATAATATACAACATAATAGATATTACCTTTGCTCTAACATATTATTCCTTTTTAATACACTGGTGTGGAAATTTTAAAAAAGTTCTTAACGCATAATTACCAACTGAATATTACACGAAAGAAAATCAATATGCTAATTTGACAGAAATTTAGGATGAACATTTATATATATGCATTTGCTAATGTAAGATTTAGCAAATAAGTACCCAAAAAAATGAGATATGATAGTGTTGCTAGCACAGTATAACTCCAGATATCCACATTAATTAGAATCATCGTGTAATCAGATAACTTATTTGTCTTTTCCTCTAGGCTAACATTGAAATACAAAACCTGAAAGTCTCCACACTCCATGGTGGCACCATTTAAAAGAACAGGAACTGTTACATTTCATTCTCGGTCACAAACAGTTACCAATTAATTTAATACAACTTGGTATTTATTAGTTTATTCAATAAAATTTTGTAAACAATTTATTAAAAATAAACAACATAAAGGAGAGTACACAAAATTAATTTTAGAATTACATAGAATAAAGATACAAATATGTTGTCCCATAAAAATAAATTTTTTTGGTAAACGATAGGCATATGAAATGAAGTAGCTTTTGGATTTGTTTCAAGTATTAATTAAATTACATAATGCAAAGTTCGTACACATTTCTACACATGGAAATTAAGTACTTTTAAGGACCATTAATGAAAAAATTAAGGACCTATGAGAAATGGGAACTGAATAAATTCAATTAAAAATATTATCTATGCCTGAATTTCACTTTTGTAATACCATCCTAAAAATAAAATAATCCCTAAGTAGTATGCATTATTACTAAGCATGAATTAATTAACATAATTATTAATAAGTTTGAAAATAAAATGAACTTTATGCAATTTACCAAGTGGCATTATATATTTTACCTTATAATAATAGTTGGTCATATTTGAAAGAGGATAAGTGACATTTACGTTTTACTAACAATTAGCTTTATGTTGATTTTTTTCATGTCTCATTTTGTCACATACTTGGTCAGTCTAGAGGTTTAATCAGCATGATACGTAACAAGAGACTGAATGTTGTCACCGCGGCTGCTTGTCTAGAAAGAGACCTGCTGATTAGAACAAAGCTGAAAGGCCTGATGTAGGCACGGTTGCCAAGTGTTTAAAGTTACTCAGGCCCTGTTTGATGCAGTTAGTGTCATAGCTTTGTGTAGAGTTCCAGCGGTTGTAACCCAGTTAATATACTTTCAATAAGAAATTAAAGCACCAGAGGTGATAAGTTGTTTAGTATTATTTTAAATCTCAGTAGATGCAAAGAATAAGTTTTACTTGAATTGTTACAATTTTGTATTTTATCTTGTGACCAGAGTATTAATGAAAGGCAATAAACTCGTTTTAATATGTTGAGATAATTTTTAAGGGTAAGCAGTTAGTTATAAATAATTAAATTAGGTAGTTTGATAATCTTAGTCATTATGGATTTACATGACAACGATTAAATTTTATTTTTTAAAAATATTTGTTATAAAAGCTCTATTAAAATCAAAATCTAATACAATTTCACAGTTTAAAATACAAGTAATTTATGACAAAATGATATTAGGATAATTGCACATTAAAAGCTACAAAACATTTATATTTTGTAACAACAACACTCATCAAAATATTTATCCGTCATTTTAATTTGAAGCCTTCCCAGACATTTTAGCTAGTTTATATTGATTTTCTTCTCTTTAAGCATCTTTTCTAAAAATCGGAGATTTGTCTTATTATGCAAACCAATGCTCTCGCTAGTTTCTGCATGCTTTATCTCCTAACTTGTCAAACTCTCCACAATGTACCTACGAGAGTTTACTTGATCTGGTAAAAGTTAAATAGTCCAAAACCTCCGACAGACGTGAAGCATATTATCGCTATGTCTGAAATTAAATAACATATCAGACAAAGGTTTAAATAAGCCTCTTATTTAAAAAGAATTTAAAACATAAAGGCATGTTCTGATGCTAATAAAATCAATTACAGTTCACGGTGATGTAATTAAACAAGAACAGTCAAATTCAAACTAATAATGTGGACTAGTGGTAATACATTGGGGGTACACTCAGACCCTCCTGGCCACAAAGAGGCCTCATGGTAATGTGGACTAGTGGTCAAAGATTATACAATTAAATTTTAATTTAATCTCGCTCAGTTACTCTATCATACGAAGAAACAGAAATGGGAAATTATAGTAAAGGCTGAAATAATAAACAATTGGGTAATTTACATAATAATAACTGCACATATCTTTGAAGAATAATTTTCTTTATGTATTCAGCTTCTTTCTTCAACACGTTTCCTTTTGATTTTATAATTTTTGGATTTAATTAAAGATTTCTGTTATTCTAAAAAACACTAAATGCATTTAGAATGTACAGAAAAAGTGGCTAATTTTATTTATTTAGTACTATGAACATTCAGAAGAAATATGAAATGTATACGGTAAAGGCCGGTTACAGAGCTGATGTGGCAGAATTTTTATAATTTAGTGACACACCGAACAACAAAATCTAGAAATGGCATAACTTTTAGAATTTAGAGCAGGCAATGGAAGCAGAATTTAGAAAGGCACTAAGTCTGCAAGAATTTAGGATCTACATAGATAAGTTTAATATTGCTGTGATTGCACCAGGTGGGAAAATGCCTAGCATCAGACCTATGTGTATGATGCATTAAGATGAATCTTTTAAATTGTAACTTTTCAATTTTTTTATTAATAAAAAAATCCCTTTCTATAATGGCTATGATAAGATTAGAAGCATTTTTGGTACCTAGTGAAAAGTAGAGGAAATAAAGGGAAGATAAACATGTTAAGATTCTAGTATCAGAAGTAAAACATGCAAATATGTTTTCATTGTTCTCTTCCAAAAAGTAAGAAATTCATTGCAAACTTTCTATAAAATACATCCATCACATGTTGATACCATGGTGACATTTTTCATTTTGTCACATATTTCTCGAATCCTCTAGAATCGTAGGTCTATAAATCTTGCCTTCAAACCCTTTTAAACTTTTTAAGCTGCAATGTCTAAAACCCTAAAAAAAAAAAAAAAAAAAAAAAAAAAAAAATTATCCCTACCATTTGTGTTACAGCAAAGAGCAAGAAATATTTTGGAAAAAAAAAGGAGGGAAAAAGTGTAAAATTAATTTTATAGAGAAAAATTGATGCATACTCTGAGAATTTTGAATATTCTGAGACAATTACATGGAAAAAAACTCTTACTATGAAAAAATTAAAAAGAACACATTTTTTAATTAATTACATAGCTAATTTTGCTTTTGCTAAAAGCTGTTTCGTAAATTGTGCTTTATAGCATTATACCTTGTTTATTTTTCAGATTCAAAATATTGTATAATAAGTTGCCAAAATGAAACTTTATTGAACTGACAGCGGAAAATAAAAATGTTTTATTTAAATATAATTTCAATATATTGCCATTATTTTAATGAAATTTATCAATCTTACGAAGCTTTAAAAAATTGTCGAAAAATTCCTAGATCTCGGAATTAAAAATTTTCTATAGAAACTGATCTTAAAATTGCCAAAATGTTGATAAATCGCCAAATTTAGAAGCGTTTAATAAAAGAATTCGCATCCCCAAAAGTGTGAAAAGTTGTCTAAAACCTCGTTATTAGAAAAATGAATTTCGAAATGCTTATGTTTCACTTCTTGCTTAGAAACTAAAGTATCCCATCATTTATTTTAGAAATAGAAACAAATTATAACTCATGAACCATTCGAAAGGTTCAATATATATATGCCAGTGAATCGCCAAAAATATTCCTCCAAAATGCTAATTCACACTCAAAATGGTAGTCATAAAAACAGACAGAAATTTCAGATAATTAAAATTAAGGACCTTCTGCTGATTTTGGCCAAAATTAAGGACTTTTAAGTACCAAAAATCGATTCGAAAAAAGTCTAAGGACTTTTAAGAACTCTTAAAGACCGTACGAACCCTGATAATCATGTTTTAATGAGATGATATCCTTGTTTTTTGTTGCATAACAAATTAAATCTTTGTGCAATATCTGATATTTCTTAGTCAACAGCTCTATAAATTCCCCATGGGTTTTAGATGGCAGGTGATTAATATCGCTGTTATTGATCAAAAGTGGCTTTTGAATTCAAGATAACTTTCTGAACTCAAAATTCAATGTTAAGTGTGAAACTGTTTTCCTACGGTTTTTAAATCATCTATAACTAAATTTATTATTAAATTTATTACACAATTATTATTATTTTTTTTATAAAACTGTTGACAGTTAAGACATCTCAACTGAATCATTTTACACCATATTTTTCTAAATGTTGGTCTATTTAATACAACCTGCAGTCCCCCCTGCAAGAGCCTCTTAACGCATCAACCAGTGCGTGAATGTTATATGATCATTACACTGGTTAACAGTCAAAAGGATCAGAGATAAAAAAAACAACTAATACCTATTAATTTTTTATCTGCTGAATAATTGTTAAAATTGTTTATCAGTTCTTCAAACTAGCACTTATCTGCACACTAATGAAACATGCCTCATATATGAACATATTCCGTCTAAAAGAAAGACTTAATTGGCACAAATTGTTGCACAGCTTTTCTGGTCAGTTGTAAGACAGCATTTAAGCAAGATGCCTCGAAAATGTGTTAACAACACAAACAGTTTTGTTATACTTGTGGGGAAGTGACGTTTGTTTTGTAGAGGCGAAATCTGTCTTCCATGGTTAAAAAAGCTTACAATTTCTATTTTGGCTGTAAAGTGGAAAATCAAGACAAATCCTGGACCCCATACATCTGCTGTAATTAATGTGCTTCTAGTCTGTAAAACTCATAAAACCACAAAAAATATCAATGCCCTTTGCAGTCCAATGGTGCGGAGAGAGCCGTTAGTTCATGTGAGTGATTGCTATTCT